GGAGGAAAGTGGTCACATACCTCTTTGTCTGTCCCAGACTGTCAGGGAATGAGATAACATAAGGCATAAAATGGAGTGATGCAGATTGTTACAGATCAACATTAAGGCTCCTATACCAACAGAAGGGCACAACAGAGCTTCTATAGATACCCATTGAGGGGAAGGTCCTTTTGTCGTAGTATAAGTGAATTGGGAGAATTGCTTGATAATATACCAAAAGATTAGGGACTCCCAAGCATCCAAGTGACCCTAAAGCATACAACATCAATCTATTCAATCAAGGGCGTTCATGAGCCCAGATAAATTGGTTGATATGATTTTGCAGCCATAATATATCATGTCTATGGACTGCTATGGGAATTGTCCTAAAAAAGTAGAGTAGTCTGGGTAATAAACTCATTTTCCTAGAGTGAATTCTGCCAAACCACAATAGTGGGAAGCTGGACCACCTGTCCAGGTCTGCTTTAAGCTGTTTAAATAAAGGAGGGTAGTTTGCTGCATACTGTAAGATGAAGATAGACTGATGCCTAGATACAGTGGCTTGAAAAAGTATTCATACCCCTTGAAATTTTCTGCATTTTATCATGTTACAACCAAAAACGTAAATGTATTTTATTGGGATTTTATGTGACAGACGAACACAAAGTGGTACATAATTGTGAAGTGGAAGGAAAACAATAAATGGTTTTCAACATTTTTACACATAAATATCTGAAAAGTGTGGTGTGCATTTGTATTCAGCTCCCTTTACTCTTATACCCCTAAATAAAATCTAGTGGAACCAACTGCCTTCAGAAGTCTCCTAATTAATAAATGTAGTCAACCTGTGTGTAATTTAATCTCAGTAAAAATACAGCTGTACTGTGAAGCCCTCAGAGGTTTGTTAGAGAACATTAGTGAACAAACTGCATCATGAAAGCCAAGAAACACACCAGACAGCTCAGGGATATAGTTGTGGAGAAATTTAATGCAGGGTTAGGTTGCAAAAAAATATCCCAAGCTTTGAACATCTCACAGAGCACTGTTCAATCCATCATCCAAAAATGGAAAGAGTATGGCACAACTGCAAACCTACCAAGACATGGCCCTCCACCTAAAACAGACAGGCTGGGCAAGGAGAGCATTAATCAGAGAAGCAACCAAGAGACCCATGGTAACTCTGGAGGAGCTGCAAAGATCCACAGCTCAGGTGGGAGAATCTGTCCACAGGACAACTATTAGTCTTGCACTCCACAAATCTAGCCTTTATGGAAGAGTGGCAAGAAGAAAGCCATTGTTGGAAGAAAACCATAAGAAGTCCCATTTGCAGTTTGCAAGAAGCAGTGTGGGGGACACAGCAAACATGTGCTCCGGTCAGATGAGACCAAAATTGAACTTTCTGGTCTAAAAGCAAAAAGCTATTTGTAGTGGAAAACTAACATTGCACATCACCCTGAATACACCATCCCCACCGTGAAACATGGTGGTGGCAGCATTATGTTTTGGGGATGCTTTTCTTCAGCAGGGACAGGGAAGCTGGTCAGAGTTGATGGGAAGATAGATGGAGCCAAATACAGGGCAATCTTACAAGAAAACCTGTTAGAGTCTGCAAAAGACTTGAGACTGGGGCAGAGGTTCACCTAGAAGCAGGACAATGACCCTAAACATACAGCCAGAGCTACAATGGAATGGTTTAGATCAAAGCATATTCATGTGTTAGAATTGCCCAGTTAAAGTCCAGACCTAAATCCAATTGAGAATCTGTGGCAAGACTTAAAAATTGCTGTTCACAGACGCTCTCCATCCAATCTCAAAGAGCTTGAGATATTTTGCAAAGAAGAATGGGCAAAAATTTCATTCTCTAGATGTGCAAAGCTGGTAGAGACATCCCCAAAAAGACTTGCAGCTATAATTGCAGTGAAAGGTGGTTCTACAAAGTATTGACTCAAGGGGGCTGAATACAAATGCATGCCACACTTTTCACATATTTATTTGTAAAACATTTTGAAAACCACTTATCCTTTTCCTTCCACTCCACAATTGTGCCACTTTGTGTTGGTCTATCACATAAAATCCCAATAAAATACATTTACGTTTTTGGATGTAACATTACAAAATGTGGAAAATTTCAAGGGGCTTTTTCAGTGCACTGTATGGGATAAAGGTAGAAGCCCACTCAAAGTTGACGTTTTTGCGTAAGTAAGTAAACTGTAGATGGAGATAGATTGACATTCAGGGCTATAGTTTTCATTTGGTTGAGTTGTAGATTGGAAAGGTCCAAAAACTTGCACAGCAACTGTAATAAGTTGGGTAACATAATGTGGGGGGAAGATATAGGAGTACGTTTTCAGCAAATAGGTAACAATTGTGCTCACATCGACCACAAGTTATCCTTTGAATATCTGGATGAGAATGTATAGCAACAGCCAGGGGTTCCAAGGCTATTGCAAAAAGTAGCATGGATAACAGGCAGCCCTGTGTGGTGCCTTGTTAGAGATTAATGAAGATTTATGTCCTCTGACAGAGATGTATGCCCTTGAAAAGTGATATAGACTGCACAATGTTTGAAGAAAAAAAAAAAAAAAGAGGTACTGAACCCATCATGTTCCTCGACAATGAGCAAGTAATCCCAAGACAGGCTGTCAAAAGCTTTGTGTAAGGCTGGCCATACATTATACAATCTTTCTTTAGATTTACCAAAACCATATAATAGGAGGTGAAACCTAAACACTTTCAATTTGTATGAAATTGAGCAGGCCCTTGCACTACATAGTTGATGGTAAATTTACAGAAAATTGAATAAGAAAATTGTATAATGTATGGCCAGCATAAGTCTAGCTGCAGAAGCATAATTTCCCTGTGAACTGGGGCATCCCATCTAGAAAGAACCATGGAAATTAAAGCTAGAGTCCTATGTACTGGATCCACTACCTCGCAGTGTATGTATTGTAGTTGGGAATGCACAATTTTAAGAACTGACATGCTTAGTATCCATTTACTAATTGCCACCACATCTTTTATATCTTACCAAATAATTGCATATTATATTGTGTTTGTGTGCACTAAAAAAATCTATTTTAGCATATTTTATCCAAAAACATGCATTGCATCAGTTGCATAAATATTGGTATGACATAAAAAATTGCAAATGGACCTATTTTGTAAAAAAGCCTCTCTTTTCAGAAAATATAGAATTATTTGAGGGTTTTAAGTAATTTTCTTGCATAAAATGCAGATTTTGACAAGTGTGAAAAAGTAAAGAATTGCCCTGGTAGAATAGTGGTTAAATGAAAAAGTTGAAAAATAACATTTACTGGCTGGATTACCATGTGGAAATAAAGAAACAAAACTATTGCAGACACCACATCTAAGGCTTAGCAAATTATGAAATTATGTTTTTTTAATTTATTTTACCATTTTATTTATTGTAACTTTGCAAGTAACAATGAAAAGGCTTTAAAAACAACTAACACCAAGCAAATGCGTTGAAATCATCTGACATCCACACATCTTAACTTGTGACACAAACATGTTTTGCTGGCCAAACCAAATGAAACCGCCATTTCACACTGCATAAAAGTATACCATCAGAAGAAATGGAAATCTGTCAACCTTTTACCTTAAAACATGTACAGTATTAATAACATTTGGTTTGGGAGCAAAAGTAGATACAATTTCAGGAGTTCCAGGTGTTTGACTGGCTGCAAGGTTGAGTCTCTGATTGCTGGGAGCACCCGCTGGCCAGCCCTGGTACTGCAGCTCATAAGGCAGCTGAGTCCCACTATTGCTGGCCAGTCCATTCCTGACAGTACCCCCCCTCAAGGAGCGGCCTCAGGACGCTCCAAACAGTCCTAGCTGGGCAAAATGTTCCACCGCCCGGGTCTGGTAACTGGCGGGATATCAAAGACTGGCACACTGGGCAGGACTCCGGGCAGCGGCACATCGGGCAGGACTCCGGGCAGAGGCACATCAGGCTGGACTCCGGGCAGAGGCACATCGGGCTGGACTCCGGGCAGAGGCACATCGGGCTGGACTCCGGGCAGAGGCACATCGGGCTGGACTCCGGGCAGAGGCACTCCGGGCAGAGGCACTCCGGGCAGCGGCACACCGGGCTGGACTCCGGGCAGAGGCACATCGGGCTGGACTCCGGGCAGAGGCACATCGGGCTGGACTCCGGGCAGAGGCACATCGGGCTGGATTCCGGGCAGAGGCACACCGGGCTGGACTCCGGGCAGAGGCACATCAGGCAGGACTCCGGGCAGAGGCACATCGGGCAGGACTCCGGGCAGAGGCACATCGGATTACCAGGCGAAGCAGCAGGCAGCGGGCCACCAGGCGGAGCAGCAGGCACCGGGCCCCCAGGCGGGGTGACTGGCGTCGGACCCCCAGGTGGAGCGACAGGTCTCGGGCCCTCAGGCGGAGCGGCGTGCGCCGGGCCCCCAGGCGGAGCGACAGGTCTCGGGCCCCCAGGCGGAGCGACAGGTCTCAGGCCCTCAGGCGGAGCGGCGGGCGCCGGACCCCCAGGCGGAGCAACAGGTCTCGGGCCCCCAGGCGGAGCGACAGGTCTCGGGCCCTCAGGCGGAGCGACAGGTCTCGGGGCCCTCAGGCGGAGCGACAGGTCTCGGGCCCCCAGGCGGAGCGGCGGGCGCCGGACCCCCAGGCGGAGCGACAGGTCTCGGGCCCTCAGGCGGGAGCGACAGGTCTCAGGCCCCCAGGCGGGGGGGCGGCGGGCGCCGGACCCCCAGGCGGAGCGACAGGTCTCGGGCCCCCAGGCGAAGCGGCGGGCACCGAGTCACCAGGCACGACAGTGGGCTCCGAGTCAACTGGCATGACCGCTGGCACTGGGTCAGACATTGGATCGTCTGGCTGGAAAGCGGGCATCGGGTCACCAGGCATCAGGTCATTTGGCTCGACAGCGGGCACCACGTCATCTGGCAAGGCAGTGGGCTCCGAGTCAACTGGCATGACCGCGGGCACTGGGGCAGACATTGAATCGTCTGGCTGGACAGCGGGCACTGGGTCACCAGGCATCAGGTCATTTGGCTCGACAGCGGGCACCGCGTCATCTGGCAAGGCAGCGGGCCCCGAGTCAACAGGCACGACAGTGGGCCGGGTCATCAGGTACCGGATTGTCTGGCTCGACAGCGGGCATCAGGTCACCAGGTATGACAGCGGGCACTGGGTTACCAGGCATCAGGTCATTTGGCTTGCCAGCGGGCACCGCGTCATCTGGCAAGGCAGTGGGCACCAGGTCACCAGGCATTGGATCGTCTGGCTCGACAGCGGGCATTGGGTCACCAGGTATGACAGCGGGCACTGGGTCACCAGGCATCAGGTCATTTGGCTTGCCAGCGGGCACCGCGTCATCTGGCAAGGCAGTGGGCACCGGGTCACCAGGCATTGGATCGTCTGGCTCGACAGCGGGCATCGGGTCACCAGGTATGACAGCGGGCACTGGGTCACCAGGCATCAGGTCATTTGGCTCGCCAGCGGGCACCGCGTCATCTGGCAAGGCAGTGGGCACCGAGTCACCAGGTACGACAGCGGGCTCTGAGTCAATTGGCACGACAGCAGGCACCGGATCAGGTACCGGATCATCTGGATCAACAGCGGGCATCGAGTCAACTGGCCTAATAGGATCGTCAGGCTGGATCAGTTCATCATGCTGGGTAGAGGCATCAGGCTGAATGCCGGCGTCCGGCTGAGTAGAGGCTTCAGGCCGAGTAGAGGCTTCAGGCCGAGTAGAGGCATCAGGCCGAATAGAGGCATCAGGCCGAGTAGAGGCATCAGGCCGAGTAGAGGCATCAGGCCGAGTAGAGGCTTCAGGCCGAGTAGAGGCATCAGGCCGAATAGAGGCTTCAGGCCGAGTAGAGGCTTCAGGCTGAAGAGAGGCATCAGGCTGCGTACAGGCATCAGGCCGAGTAGAGGCATCAGGCTGCGTAGAGGCATCAGGCTGAGTACAGGCATCAGGCTGAGTACAGGCATCAGGCTGAGTAGAGGATTCAGGCTGAGTAGAGGCTTCAGGCTGAACCACGGAAGGCAGGTTCACCGGTTTGGATACTGGCAGGATGGTATTGGTTGGAAAGAATTTTCGCTTTTTTCTGGTTTTAACTACTGGAGCACTGTAAGTAAACGCAGGTCTGCAAACGAATGGAGCAGCTGGAGACAGAGAAGAACTGGAGGATGGAACAGGAGAGGGAGCAGTTGCTACAGAGGGCTTTTTTACAGGGTTAAAGGCAGGATAGGTGCAGCGAGTGGGAACAGGGTACTGACATGCGGTAGATAGCAGGGCAGGAGGAGCTGTTGGGAATGCAGGAATAGAGTTTTGAGGAAATAGATTAGAAGCAGGACTGGGTTTTTGTAAGCTGACTGAGGCTGGGTGCAACAAGTCTGTCCATGTCTGCAGTATGGGTTGAACAAAGCTGAGCTTACACAAAGCCTGTCTGACCAAAGACTGCACTGCGTTTATACAATCTCTTAGTATCTGTGGTGAACATGTGGAATAACGCTCCAGAAAGTAACCCACATCATCCTCTAATAACCACACCAGGGACTCTACCTGGTCTGCACTAAATGGTGGCAAAAATTCATCCCTGCATTCGGGGGTACCAGATGAAACCAACTCAGCACAAACCTCAATCAAAGGCTGCACCTCAGAGAACTCTGTGCCCTGATCTACTAGAACATGAGCGAGCCGTATACATTCTAGCAGTTCATCCTGGGTATACTCCTTCAGAGTTTGATAAGCATACTCCCTGTCATCAAACACTAGCAGATATAAATACGCAACCTCATCCAGATCCATCCTTCCCATCAACAAGCCAAGATGGCTTCCCTGTGCAGCCACTTCTGGTCAGGATTGGCCTTGGTGTAATGTCAGGGCTCCCGGGTATGACCAGAGGGTGTGTGACTGACGCAGGGAAACGCAGACTTCAGATATGTTATAAACAATGTAATTTATTAACACTAACCATACAAACATAAACGCAGTGCAATACTAAAACATAACACAGTGCAAACAAACCAACCAACCACCCACAGATAACAGTACATACAATGCAAGCGTCGTCAGGCAGGCCGGGTCAATATCAGTCGGGCAGGTAGGTACAGGGGGAGCAAGCGGAGAATGGTCGGGGTCACAGGCCAGGTTCAGCAGGTAGCGGGCAGCGTGGTACAGAGGGTCAGGCAGAGGAGAATGGTCAGACAAGCCAGGGATCAGAGCAGGGTCAGCAGAGAATCAGACAGGAACAGAGAGCAGGAACAGGATACAGGGCCCAAGAGAAAACAACAACCACCAAGGCAGAGTCTGCAGGTCTGAATGTCCCTTAAATACACCAGTATAATTAGTTCCAGGTGTTTGACTGGCTGCAAGTTGAGTCTCTGATTGCTGGGAGCACCCGCTGGCCAGCCCTGCTACTGCAGCTCATAAGGCAGCTGAGTCCCACTATTGCTGGCCAGTCCATTCCTGACAACATCACTGCTCTAGAGGAGATCTGCATGGAGGAATGGGCCAACATACCAGCAACAGTGTGTGCCAACCTTGTGAAGACTTACAGGAAACGTTTGACCTCTGTCATTGCCAACAAAGGATATATAACAAAGTATTGAGATGAACTTTTGATATTGACCAAATACTTATTTTCCACCATAATTTGCAAATATAATTCTTTCCAAATCAGCCAATGTGCTTGTCTGGATTTCTTTTCTCATTTTGTCTCTCATAGTTGAGGTCTACCTATAATGCCAATTACAGGACTCTCTCATCTTTTTTAAGTGGGAGAACTTGCACAATTGGTGGCTGACTAAATACTTTTTTGCCCCACTGTATTTTGAAATATATAAAAAACACATTTCAACATACAATATATATATATATATTGAAATATATTTTGAAATATATTGAATACGGCCAAAATTGTAGTATTCAAATATATGTCACTATATTTGGGAAGAATGTTCTTAAAATATATTTAAAATATATTTTTCTTCAATGTGGGTTGTTACATTTGTTATTGCTGCTGATGTCCCACAGCCTCTTTACAGCCTGTCCCTGAGTTGCTTTGCAAATAAAAAAGACAAGGCATTAAAACAACCAGCATCAAGTGAATGCGTTGAAAATCATCTGACGTTCACACACCCTAACTTGTGACACAAACACGGCTTGTCGGCCAAAATCAAACGAAACTGCCATTTCACACTCCATAAAAGTATACTGGTAGGGGAAATGGAAATCTGTCAAACTCTTGCCGCAAAATAGGTATTAATAACCTTTAGTTTAGAGCAAAGTAGATAAAACTTGCAATTGGGGAAACTGTAAAATAAATTTGTAAGAGAGCTACAAGTTTCAGGTCTGGGTATGTGATAACTAAAAATCCCTGTTTTGTGCAAAGTTTGCTAGACATGGTATACAGCAGTATACAGAGGGTTCATTGAGAATTTTTCATGTTAACATGTGGTCACGCTCCTTTAGCACTTGATGGATTAATATATATATGTATAATATTTTTGAACCTGAGCACATGTATATTTTATTTTTGTTGCAGTGCAATTCAATGGTCAGGCCTGAAATCTGAAGCTCTCCTAGAACTTGCGTCTACCTGTCCCATATTGGCACAATATCCACTGTAGCATATGCATTTTGCAGAGCAGAATAGAGACTGGCCAGAGAGGGATTACTTTCATTCCTTTCATTAAACGGGCTATTTTGCCAACTGGTATGGAAGCAGTGGAAATGCCAAGATGGCATACAGGTTCTGGTCGTGTTGGGGGTTTGGGGACATTTTTTCCTTCCATTCCAGCAAAAACCCTGCTAAAGGATGGTTGTTACTGGAGAAGGCAGATACAGAAAAAATGTAATAAAAAAATAAAAACCACAAAAATAAAAGAGCAAAAACAACAAAAGAAAAAAAAACTAATTGCAGCTAGGAATGGGGGTTGTTATAATGTAGTTATTTTCTTTTGCAGCTCCAAATGGCAGCTGACGCCTGCTGCTCTCTAGCTGCACTGTACAATATTTGTGGGTATTGTCTCTAATAATAAACTCTAATTTCTATTTCGAGATAAACCTTTGTTATCACTCCTCTTATATTCCAGTCTAACAAAGCTGCTTGCATACTATCCAGCCCCTGAACAATATTTGGGCTACTTTGTCTCTGAGGATACACTCCTAATTATCTGCATTGTCTTTGGGCTCTTTCACATGAACGTTCTGATCGGGTCCACCTGCCTGTTTTTCAGGCAGACCCGATCGGAACCTCCATTCTCCTCTATGGAGCGGAGGGTGTAAATGGACATGTGTCCATTTACACCCACCGACATCAGATCTGATCCACCAAAAAGGGACAGATGGGGATCCAGTTCCCCTTCCATCCATCACATTGGGTTGGATTAAAACTGACAGGCGGTTTGTATGCATGCGACCGCCCATTAAGGAGAGCGAGATGCTCTGTGTCTGCTCTGCAGCAGCGGAGCAGACAAAGTGCTGTCATCCACATGCTCAGCGGAGATCAGTTGAGAGATCTCCCGCTGAGCAAGCAGATCCGCTAAACGGGTCTGCCCCATGTGAAAGGAATCTTTTTGTATGTGCTGCCTATTCAAGTGCTCGCATGCTGTCCTGACACTAGGCAATTACTTACAAACACATATAGTCTTTATTTCACATATTTTGAGATGAATTTCGGATATGGGGATTGGAGAGTGCTGCGTGTTCTTGTGTGATTCACATGCACGTGCGATCAACATGCAGTTCTGTGCATTGCGAATTCAGCCTATTCATTCTGAATGTGCTGAAATGGCACTATACCACACCAAAAGTAGTGCATGCACTACTTTTGGAAACGCAATGCAAATGGATTGCATGATAATTTTGTACCATGTGATCCAATGCAGGAAAAAGCACTGCATTTGTTTGGGGTGCCATTAACTTTGCACTGACATCTGCTGCAGATTGCAAGGCAGTGCAAATTGAATGCGGTGCGGGAAACAGTCACAGAATGCGGGTTTCCTGCACTGCGTTTTAGTGTGAAAGGGTGCTAAAACATATACAGTAGGTCACATAATATATCATGGCTGATATATTTGTGCATCATAATAATAAAGCATCTCTGTAAAACAGCAACTCCCAAATTACAGTTACAAATGTTATGTCAATGTTTCGATATTTGGCCCACATCTGAGCTAATCCAATGCATTTTGATACTTACACTCACCAGCCACTTTATTAGATACACCTGTTCAATTGGTTGGTAACACAAATTGCTAATCAGCCAATCATATGACAGCAACTCAATGCATTTAGGCATATAGACATGGTGAAGACGACTTGCTGAAGTTCAAACCAAGCATCAGAATAAGGAAGAAAGGGGATTTAACGAACTTTGAACGTGGCATGGTTGTTAGTGCCAGACGGGCTGGTCTGAGTATTTCGGAAACTGCTGATCTACTGGGATTTTCACGCACGACCATCTCTAGGGTTTGCAGAGAATGGTCCAAAAAAGAAAAAATATCCAGTGAGTGGTAGTTGTATGGACGAAAATGCCTTTTTGATGCCAGAGGGTAGACTAGTTGCTGTGACATTCAGATGGTAGGGTCAGAATTTGGCGTAAACATTAAAGCATGGATCCATCCTACCTTGTATCAACGGTTCAGGCTGTTGGTGGTGGTGTAATGGTGTGGGGGATATTTTCTTTGCAAGGTGAAAAAGTGGCCGGTGAGTGTATACTGTATCCTCCTTGGGGGCAACAGCAGGACATTCTAAAATGGAATTAGAGCAAATTATACTATATCCAAGGCATATTTTCCCATAGTGGTGATTATGTTTACCTTTAGACTTCCGTATCAGGC